CTAGCGCAGATAGCCCCCGTGTAGCTTTGCGTGAAATTCAAAAACAAAAACAAACAATGGAATAGGCTTTCTGTATTAAAGGGAGTTTTTATATGTATTCTCTTTGTTTAAGATTTTAATTGATGTATATTTTCAATCATGCATAGCTTGTTAGACCAACTTCTTTTAAATGGGGTGTGGTTTTCATTATTAAAGGTTTTTTAAGCTGATATGTTTTCATTATTTAAGGATATTCTTTGGTTTAACTTTTGAGTATGGAATGCTCCCCTCTCCCTAAAGGGGTGGACATGATTCCTAATGCATATAATGATGTTTTAAGTATTACTACTGGGCACGTGATTTATGGGATGAAAAGGGAATTTATTTAACTTCTTTGGTGCTCTGTGGGTAAAGTTTGTTTTCTTACATTTCTAGAATTAGAGATGGCTGGGTTAGCCTGGAAAGAGAGATAAAAGAGTTTGCAGTATGGGGATGTACTAAATGTTTTCCATCCCTTTAATTAAAAAGTAAAACAATATTAAAATATGTTGTTTTTTTACAACTCCTCAGTTGTGCAGAGACACCTTCAAGTGAGTTACTAATTTTCATTTTCTTTAACTGGCAAATTAGGCCAAGTTAGAATTAAAGCCTGCTTATCTGATTCTCTTACAGGAATAACAATAGTATTTTTAATTAGTAAGCTGAGTTATTCTTAATTGGCAAATAAGTTAATAATTGCAAATTGAATCGTCCTTGATCTCCACTGCCCTATGGCCTGCTGACCCCAAGCAAACCAATAACTGTTTTCTTGTTTTAGAAATTTGAGGACTTAATGATATATTTAAGATGGTGTTGACACAGATTTCACTTAGATTTTACAGACTTAGTTTCAATTAACTTCAACATGATACCTCTGAAAGTTCTCATATTCAAAATTTATGCAGAGATTTTGCTCTCCACTGCTATAAGTATTTAGAACACAAACCGATGAGATCCCTATTTTTCATTAAAGTCTTCCTAGCCTCTATCAATTCTACACACACACAAACACATTGTTACGACAGCGAAAGTCACGTGACGCTGATAACACGTCATGAGTTTCTAGAAGGATCATGACTGTTCCTGGCAACTCTAGTGTTTGCCAGA